GGAAGGGAACGCCTCTCCCACGTGGGTGCCACGTGTGCGCTTCCGCTCTCCGCGCGCGCGTGCGAAGCGCGCGCGCGAAGAATTCGCGCGCGTATCACCCGTGCGACGTTATCTATCCGCGTTATCGTCTCCGCGAGGATCCACGCCGTCGTTTATTCCCGGGGTTCGCTTAAATCGACGGAAGAAGAAGGGACCCCGTCGGTTCCCCGCTCTCGGGAAATGGATCCGAAAACGGACGTGTTTGACACTTTCGAGCCACCGATATGCGCTCTCTCTGCTTTTTTGTCGCCTTCTCATGAGAACATTCGTTCGGTTACTTGTCACGTTAGTGCCTAATCTAATGGCCGTGTTCAGCAGAATGTTCCGTTTGCAACTGTTGGAAGTTTTCTTCTCGCTTGATTGGATTATACTTTTAGAATACTTTTAGATCCAGAGGAATAATCCTATCTCAGCGAAGAAAACTTCCAACAGTTGCAAAATAAACATTCCCTGCTGAACGCGGCCAGTAGCAAGTCGATGTTTTAACAATCTACATTACAGGGAGGGTTCCGTTTCATGCAGCTCACGAGTGTAGAGTCGCTAAATTCGAATGGCCGGTGAATATTTTATTTATTATAGATTTATTAAAGAAGAGACAAGATAGGAACTGCTGGAACATGGCGAATGTTAAGTAATTCCGAGCAGTCAATTTCCGGATACGTGAAATTGATTTCCGTTATGTTAATAAAAAATGGAAATCTCTCCTGTACTCGCGAATTTCCTATCGGAGAGCAAAACGTTCATTACTTAAATTAGCAAATCTTTTTTGCAATCCGATCGTAAATGTTTTGTTTCGGTTACACACAGAAAAATACATACGCGAATAATAATTACGCGTTTCAAATATTTCAAAAGTTCATATATATCTGCAAATCTATCATACGTTTATCACAAGCATCAAATTTATTCGAAACGTATTCTGAATTCTGATTTAATAAATCAGTCAAGAGTATTGAGTTCAAACAAATTCGATTTGCTTATTATATAAAATCGCTTCTTCGATCGATTTTACAATATTTTTCAAAAGAAAATAAATTCTTGTTTTGAGTAAATAATAATGAGTTTTTCTGAAATTTCTAATAAGTATATTTTGAAATATTATTATCAAGAAAATATTCTTTGTTACAGACAACCGTTAGTTAAAAGAAAGAAAGTAGATTGAATAATCATTTTTCACAGAATGACATTTTTCTGTGTGGACGATATGTTCACCGAATAGATTCTCGATGAATACGATTTCGGATTCATTGTACATTAAGTAACTCGAGAAGAAACACTTTTTTTCCAAGCTCACTCTAGAAGGGAGCGTCGAGATGGGGTATATAGTTTATTTTGAATCGAAGGGTGTCGCCAAGGAGACTTGTAACGCGGTCTGTCAAGCAGGTGTAATTTACAGAATTATTTTTAAGATATCTTTAAATCTCTCGTGCTTGAATGCATGTGCGTCTTGTGAATGCGTCTACAAGTTTCTATAACTATCGATATTCGGTTAGTTTTGAAAATCTCAGTTTTTGCCAAATGTGTTTTTTTAATTTTTAAATTCTTTAATTTATTCTCATAAAACGTCAAACACTAAATGGAGCCAACGGTATCACATATATATATTTCTTTTCAATATATTTATATTTTTTGACCGTTTATTTGAGAAGCTCAATTAATACTAGAAATTTAACTATCTATTACGGTCGGAGCTGGATCTTCGTTGCTTTTTAATAATTCAATCTTGAATTACCAATATATTTTATATATGTACTTGCATATATTGTAGTCTTTTTCTAACTGCGCGCCGAATTGTTTTTCCGGACTAAATAAACGCAATTAAAACTACTCTAGTAATCGCGAATTAAATTGACAAGCAATTTAATAATTTGATGCTACCATCAAGCATCATATGTTATAAAGATGTTAATATATAAAAACTGTTAATAAACTTATTGCGAAAAATATTACCTCGATATTTCTTTATATTTCTTTTGTATTATTTTATTTTTATGATCTTATTATACACTTTGCCACGTAAAAAAAGTTACACCACTCAAACAACTTTTCAGTGGAGCGTTTTTAAAAGTCTTTCTAAATTGAAAGAATGTTTTAGTCAAAATAGTGAACATACATAATTACACTTTCTTTCCGTTATATCTTCATTTATAATGTATTCTTCGAAACTATGTCATGAGTTTCAAAATTGGAGCATTGCAATCTCAGTATAGAATTGTGTAAATTTCATCTCTTATCGGATTGTGACACTTACATAGCAAAATATAAGCAATGTGCTTTTTTTCACAACACTGATATATTAATCTTAAAGATTTCTTTTTACTATTTCTAAAAAAAATGTTAATTTTTGTCACTTTTCTCTCAACGTGGCGTTTGTTTAGTAAAAAAATATCAAATAAAAATTGAACATTGTATTTCACTCTTTTTCATTTTCAACTTATGGAAACTGTTTTGAATTCACTGTCAATGAGTGAGATGTGGTAAACAGGCAGTTTATTAAGTCGTCAATTATTTCATCTTTATATGTTGTTATTTTAATAATTTAGTTAAAGAAAAGTCAACTTTTAAAAGTCACTGTTAAAGAGGAAGATGTGATAAATATTCAGTTTACTAGGAAATCTAAGGGATCGTTCAGAAGACGTTTTTATTATTTCATCTTATATATTTCACTTTAATCTCATTTATTTAAGGAAGATAAAAACAAAAATTTGACATTGCATCCTTTTTATTCGCAACTTATTAACTTTTGGAAGCTTGTTTTAAATTCACTGTCAAAGAATGAGATGTGGCGAATCTTTAGTTTACTAGGAAATCTAAGGGATCGTTTAGAAGACGTAGGGATGGTTTTAAACAGCCGCGAAATGCCGGTGAACGACCCGGCGTGGAGCGTCGGTGTTGCTGAGGGATCTCGTAGTCATCGATCATGGATTGATCGATATCAAGGACGTGCAGGACGAGAACACAGGCGAGCAGCGAGACACGTGTGTATGTGTGTGTGTGTGAAGCGGTGAGACACAAACGTATATACGTTTACAGGTGTTCGTATATGTAGTACGTGTGCGAGAGACTCACACGACGATGACGACGATGACGACGACAACGACGATGATGACGACGATGACGACAAACGTCGATCAAAAGCCCGAGTGTTGTATATTTTTCTCGTATTTTTTTTATAGAAATGGACAAGTACCACAAAAAGTACACGATATAGAGAGGTGGGACTTTCGCGATTGAGTGTTTCGATTCGAGTAGTTTGTGGGGGGGGGGTGGGAGTTTTGTATACGTGGTGAATGAGGAGAAGGTCTCGCGACCACTCTTGAGCTTGGACCAGGGCTTTGGATTGCGTAGCAGGTCGCTGAGGGTGCCCTGGCTGCGGCACAGCACCCGCTGCGCGAAGATCGCCTGTGGTATGCTGTACCTCTTGAGTTCGGCGCTAATGCGCTGTGCGAGCTCCTTCGTGTTGATTTCCTCGACCTCGCCGGCACCGCCGTTGCCCGCCGCCGACACCGTCTTCAT